TAGCTACCGGGGGAGTCCCCACAGGGGGCTCGGGAAAGCTAGCGCCGTTACAAAACGAAACAGATATGGGGCGGGGGGGGTCGTGGATTGGAGGGGGAAAGAACGGGGCCTCGCACAGAGGGGATGGAGCTAACGTTGAAGGGAGGCGAGCCAGCAGAGGAACATCTGGGGAGCGCTGCACGGGAAGACCCTCAGGGCATGGGGAATGCGGAAGTGCCTGAACCTCCAACAGTGACAAGGAAGCGTTCAAGGGTGAGCAGGCAATTCGGTGCGGCTCAACACTTGCAGGCATCAACATACTCCTAAAGCTGTTATCTTCATACGAGACATCAGTCCTCACTGTCCATTTTGAAGGAAAGGAGGAATGGTCTCTGTTTTCGTGTTCTGGGTCTAAATTTGATTCAAAGCAAGAACAATGACATATGTCCTCTTTTGGGGCCCATGGATTGTCCGCTGTTCTTGGGCCATTTCTGAGCACTCTCGCATCTCTCATGCACCTCGTGCCCTTTCAATGTTATTGCAAGCTGCAAGCTTCTTCAAATACATGGCAACTACGGGTCCTCTTTCTTTGATTCCCTATTTGTTACCCGGCTTCTGCTGAGTATTCTGGCGTCATCCAGCACCAAACTCTAAATCACTGATTGTTGTCAAGATAGCAAAGACCAAGCATCACAGAGTCAAACCGATTTTTAGACATCGCCTCTCAGGATAGCTGCCACCATACCCTCAAGCCATCTGTGCCCACTCAAGACCTCTCCTTACAAGCCAGAATGATCTGACGTGTCACTTCGTTTTGTGACAGATGCTCCGCGAGCTGGAAAGCCGCTTGAAAGACACAGAAGACACAGTTTCCTTCTCCCAAGGCCAAGGACAGGAAGATCAGACCACAAGTCCCATCAGCAAGCCGGGCCGGCGGCGCGCGACACCTTCTCAATGGTGGGGCAATCAGATTAGCGCTCCCTGTCCTTACTCCAAAGAGAAGGCCCCTGGCAAGCGGAGGAAGGGTGTGAAAGCTCCAAAGTCGCCCGGTCAGCAGTCATCAAATGCAGCGGTGCCGGACGAGCAGCGGTGCAACAGGAGCGATGGGAAGAAGTGGCGGTGCAGCAAACAGCGCGCATTCGATCGCAAGGTGTGTGAGGATCACCGGCAGTCTCGAAAGAAGCCAAGCGCGCGCAAGGCGGGGACTAATTCGGGGACAGCGCGGAAAAAAGGACGGGGGCGGTCGGTCACAGATGCCGGCAGCCTGGGTGGCGAGGAAGGACAAGCTGATGGGAAAGCTCCTTCGGGGTTTGGAGGATCCAGGTCTGCAGGAGGAGTACGAGGGGCGCAAACTCAGGGGGGGGCAGAACGGGTTGTAAGAGGCTCGGCTGAGGTTGCGGAAGCAGGGCGGGCAAGGGGGGATGACGTCAGCAAGGGGCCGAACGGATCCGCAGGGACGCGCGTAAGGGCTTCGAAGAGGCGCTGGTGGGAGGCGAACGGATCGGGGGCTACCGGAGAGAAGGGGAAGAGATTGGAGCAAAGCGAAGGTTCGGACGGCCTTCCACTCCTAAAGGAGGATGCTTCAGAAGGAGAAATTGTTGGAGCTAGGGCCAGCGATATTGGGGTTGGCGCCAATGAGACGGTGCCACGTGTCGATCAGAGCCGTTCAGAGGGCCCTCCTGGGCCCTCCTGAGAACGACACCACTGGGGAAGGTTTGCCAACGCAAGAAAGCGGGATGGAAAATGTCGAGGCAGGGAGGGGGCAAGCATGAAAGTGAATGTAAAGCGATCAGACGGATGCACTAGTAGGTAGTGAATAACAGATGTTGGTGAAAGCAGATTCAGTGAAACTTGGTGCGTGCCTGGCAAGAGAGGTGACGTCCGTGATAGAGTAGTAAGCCAGCTTGTCGCGGTCGCCCCTAAGAGGAAAGTAGAAGAAGCGGCATGAGAAACCTGGTTGCCTGAGAAGGGCGACTACTGTAAGAATAAGATTGGAGGATTTCGGTGGTCGAGTAGAGGGCAGGCACCGGGGGATGCGAACTTGGAGAAGAGGCAGACAAAGGTTGCGGCACTCTGAAACCAGAATTGCGCAGGGGTTGCAAAGTCTTACACTCTCATTCAGACCCGCGGTATCTAGATTGTTCGGGCTCAGCCTGAGTTGGGGCGCAAGCCTAGGAAGGCAGGGGGACGCCGAGTTAGATGCAACCGAAGTGCCGCCGGGCGGGGAGTCAAAGGTTGGTCATTGACCTTCAAGCGTATTTTTGGAACTTCGTCTTTCTTTATCTCGTCTGTTGTATCGAACTTGTGTGTGCTTCTCCTTTGAGCTTAGGACCTCGCCACTGTACACGCGGGTTATTTGCGCAATATACTCGGTCAACTCTCCTCCCATCGGAGGAGTGTCTGGTGGAAGCCTGAAGGGAGAGGTTCAATTCGCTTTGTGTACATTACTTGTCAAGCAATTTACTTACGGAAATAGCGCGCAATGTGCACAGTGAGTCTGCTGTGGGAATGAACAGAAGAGAACGGTGTAAAGACAAATTCCTTACTGTGTTCTATATCTGACAAAAAGCACCCCGCTGTGATGGTTGGCCAGCTATATGCAGGGAGCTGGCAGGATAACTACACACGATCAGCTAACATGTGCGGAAACCATGAAAGCAGGCGTTCTCAAGCGATGGCGCAGCTCAGAAAAATTGCTGCCTTGCTGGAAGGACGTCTGGGAAGTGACTGGATGCAGCTAGGGGCGCTGCCCTGATCTGCCTCTCCACGATTCTTGACTGACTGAACGCAGGCAGAAACAAGACTCTGGAATCTTGAAGGATGTCCTGAGGGACTTGTCCAACAAGAGAACAGAAGTTGTCTTGAGCAGAAAGACAGCAATTTTTCTGAGCTGCGCCATCGCTT